TCATTGCCTATATGTGTATGAGTTTCTTTGTCATTCTTTAAACCTACTTTGTCATGTTTTGATGCAATCTACATATGGCATGACATTTTTGATGATATTGAGACCCTTTTCTTTATATCTGGTTCCAGTGTGCATCATAAAGCCATTCCTTTTGACTTCCAGCCTGTTATCATGTATTGTCACAACTTCTACTCTCACAGCACCACCAGCAGATCTCTCTTTCTTTCTTGCCAGGAGTAGTCTGTCATTTTTCTTTGTCTCCAGAAGCCTTTCTTTGCCCAACCACAGACAGACAGACATACACACAACACACACACACACACACACACACACACACACACACACACACCCTCCTCTCTTTCTCTCTCTCTTTCCCTCTCTCTCTCTCTCAATTTTATCTTGTCAAAAGATTATGGATTTTTTAAAAAACAAAGCAAGTACCTTTGACTTTAGATTCTTTATGCTTTTCCATCACTCCACTTATAGAAGACAAAGATTTACAAAGTATAAACAGGGTGAGGTATGAAATGAAGGGGAAAATGTTTAATTATTTCAATATACATATTTTAGTCACAGCACTGTAGCTTACAATAATCTCTAAAGAAAGTGCTTAATTTAAAAATTAGTCTCTGATTTCTTATATTGCTCAAGGTTTTTCTGTGCTTTTATTTTTATTTTGCTTATTTTTCTGAATGATTTTATTCCAGAAGCTCAAGGCAGATTTCAGATGTTTTCTACAGAGTATTACTTCTGTTGATGGCATTATATGATGCATTGTTGCAATTTTAAGTGATTGTGTTGATATGAACAGGTAGTCAGCTTATTAATAGGCATCTTTTATTTTTCATTTCTAGAGGATTGGTGGTCACGCTTATTTTTGGTCATGCATATTTTATGGTTTTTCTATCTTCCTTGAAGAGAGTTATTTAAAAATAACAGTTATATCTTAGCAAGAATGAGTGAGGAATTTAATACTTATAAGAAGATCCTTGTCTCTGGAATTTGCAGGGCTCTACTATTGATTCAGTGAGAGAGTATTCTAAAATATTAATTTGTGTGCCTTTCTTTTCCACACTTCTGCAAAACAGCTTTGCCTTTAGCAGGCAGAGATAATACATTGCCTTGAGGAACATTAGGGGAGTTGCAGGAATGAAAAAGAAAGAAGTTTAGTTTTGTACTTCTGAAATACCCCTGTCTTAAAGCATATATCAAAAAACAAAAAAGGTTGTGAAAGCAAAGCTTTTCGTATGCAAACTGCTTTCCCCTTTCCTACTCTGATCAGCCTTTCTCTGCTCTATTTTATATTTTGTCCACAGCACTTCTCATTATATAATTTATTTGTTATGTTCATTATAGAGTTACAAGAGCAGAGATATTTATTTGTTTTGCTCATTTGATATATACTAAATATGTAAAATAGTGTGTGGTATGCAAAAGGTGATTAATATATATATTTTTTATTGAATGAAAAGCCCCTTTGCTAGCAAAAGTAAAGTCTACTGAAATAAGAAGGGCATAGAGTTTATGCTACAAAAACAGACAGAAAATAGAATGTTGGATTATTCCAATGTTGGAGTCATATTATTTCACTCTGTGGGAATTTAATTTCTAGGCTTACTCAGGAGCTCATGTGCATGAGATGAAAAGTCCATTGGACCTAAGCAGGGACAAAACAGGGAAGGACCACATAAAAACCAGGCAGTAAGTTTTGAGAGACAAACAAACATAATATGTTGCGAAGTTTGAAGAATCACATATAGGGTAGCCAATGACTGATAGTTACTCTTAGCCATTGGAATAAACTCCCAAGCTTGCTGGAATTTCCTGTTTACTCTCTGGTGAAGGAAAAAAACATAGAAATCTGCATTATGCTCATGAACCGTCCAGCAGAAGTGTCCATGCTTTACAACTTAACTGAGTCCCATGTAAACTTCCCCTTGTGGAAACTCCACATTTTGATGGTCCTGGGTATGATAAGGCCCTCAAGACAGAAGTTAGAGCTTTGACATTTAGAGGGATGTTGGTCTAAAGGGAAAGTTAGAACCTGATGCAAGTGAAGTCCACTACTATATTCATGATGACTATTTTCTGAGCTTATAAATATATTAGAAAGCTATTAATAAGAAAACATACACCCTTTCTTTTACATTACCTATTGTGTATCAAAACTGATGAGTGGTGTGCCTTAAGAAGCTATCAAATATTCATGTGAATTTGTATAAGGTATATAGAAGGTTTATAGCCTGCCTGTAAGTTCTTTGATACTCCTCCCATGCAAGGGAGAGCTTAATTCTCCTTGCCTTGAATATAAATTGGCCTTAGTTACTTACTTCTAGTGAATAGAAAGGGGTGAAAATGACACCATGCCACCTGACTTCTAAGCTGGATAATTGAAGGCAATACAGCATCCACTTGTCTCTCTTTTAGAGACACTGGGAGTCTTGAGCCATCTTCAACAAGTCTGGCTACAACTGAAGCCACAATGTTATGGAGATCATATGGAGAGACTACAAAGACACAGAGATGTTCAAGGAGCCCCGAGTGTTCCAGTCCCAGCTGTTTGAATATTGCTAACACTGCACTAGACAAAGAAATGAAGAAACTTTTTAGATGACCCCAGCCTCTGCTACCGTCTGTTTATAACACCATGAGAAACCCTAAGCCAGAGCCACACAGCTAGCTGAGCTACTCATTAATTTCTGAACCACAGAAACAGTAAGACATACTAAATGACTTTTTGTAGAAAAGGGTACATGACAGAAGGCAGGGGTGGCCAAATATTTCATTCATTCATTTATTCAAAAATGTTATGCCAACTTGTGTCAGATATTATTCTAGTCACTGTGTATTCCAATACTAATAGGATGCAATTATTGTTCTAAAGAAACTTTGCTCTCAAACTCATAGTCTAATTAATAATATGTATCTATATAAAATGGGTAAGTGAAATAACAAGAATAGAAACAAATATATGGGGAATTAGCTTTTGAGTCTCTTTTAGGTCAAATATCTCTGATCCCTTAAATATTTCTTTATGTTTTTGGATATAATTTCCTGCAGAGAGACATTAAAAGGAGAAAGAGATAAAACATACACTTTTCTCCTGATATCAGTTGTATTACTTAATATATATTAAACAAGTATATTAGCCACAACAGCAAATATTTAAAAAAGAAATAAAAAGTTTCAAATAATAACATCCTGATATTATTGTACAAATAGTTAGAATTACCTTGATATCAATTTACTTATGATTTTACTAATATAAAATATTATGAAGGTTCTCTAGAAGTTACATAGTATCTGAATATAAATGCAGTAGTTCTCTTTGTAAAAGAATAGCACATTTTATTCCACAAATTTTTAAAAATTAAGATTACTATTATCAATAGATATTGATATCTAATTTGATGAAACTGGAGAAGAGGGATATCCTAACAATAATGTTTGACATGAAAAATTCATTGTATCATTGAGTCCAGTTAGGGAAGAAGAGGCACTACTCGTGATGTGTGATAAAAGATTCATTATACAGTTGTGGGGAGAACTAAAAAGCAAGGTTCTAGAAGTGGGAGCTGGAAGATCACTGGCACAAGTGGACAAGTAGGAACTTTCAGGATATTTGACAAACAAGTTGTGGTATGGGTGCAGCCAGTGGGACACTGGGCTGGGGACAGCTCTGGTGTCTGTGCAGTTAATACCTCTGGGGTGAACAGGTAAGCATCTGGGGGAGGGCTGAGACTGTTGTTCTTCAGCCTGGCCATCAGTTCAGAGGAAAAAGGTGGATACACAGTGGAGAAAAGAGATAGTACACTGGACCCATGTGGGTGCCTCTGTGTCTATCCATTATGATATGAAGACCTTGAAGTCTTCCAGAGCATAATGGCTGTTTGCAATGTACAATGCATACACGCCCCTCAAGTTCATATGCTGAAATTCCAAAACCCAAGGTGATGGCATTAGGATGTGATTAGGCCATGAGGGTAGAGCCCTCCTGAATGGGATCAGTGCCATAAAAGAAGCCCCAGAGACACCCCTCACCCCTTCTGTAATGTAAATGCACAAGGAGAAGATGACCATCTATGAAGAAGCAGGTCTTCACCAGATATCAAATCTGCTAGTTCCTTGATCATGGACTTCCAAGCTTCCAGAACTGGGAAAAATACATTTCTATTGTTTATGAGCCAGATGGTTCATGATATTTTGTTATAGCAGATTTAGACACCATTGCTCCATTTTTTTTGCATCTCAAATCTGATACAGCTTCCTCTTTAGTCCAACTCCAACCTAGAAGCATATAGGGACAGGAATTCTGAATCTCATAGTTCCCAGCCATTTGAAATTGACAGTGGAATGATCTAGCACACCCACTCCTACATAAGATTTTATTTCGTGACCCATATCTATAGCTACAAAATGTTCAAATTATTTGTTGTATGTTTTTATTTAAAGGATATCTTGTGTGCAAAACTGTCAGATGTATGGCTACTTTTAATAATATATTCTCTCTTTCCCATTCATCTGTGGCTTCCTCACAGTTTGTGAGAAATAATTTGGTATTTTAAAAAGGAGTCTTTTTAAGAAATGGTTTCTTTTGGTCACAGCAGTCAAAGGCAAGGATGGCAGAGAATCAATTCAGTAACCACTGAGTAAGCCACACGTGCAGGCCTGGCTACCATTTCACTCCTGGTCGCTGGAACTCGACAGGAAAACTGGAGAGTCTCATGCTCTCTTTTTCTCCAGGACAAGGAAGGAGAGAAGATTGTTTATGTTAGGAGCTTTCATTATGATCTGAACGATTTTAGTACAAATTATAAATTTAAAACTCTATTCTCTTAATTCAGTTTGGTTCAGTTTAATTAATTCCTACACTACCAATATTTTCTCAGCAATTGCTCTGTGCCAGGGACTGTCCTAAATACGGTGACTAGAGATAAAATTGATAGCAATAGTTTATACCTTCATGGAGGTTTCATTTTAACAGGGAAGGCAGCCATTACTTACAAGTGTAGTGTGGTGAGATAAACATTCTTTCGAGAAGATGCCCTAGTGGAGTCTTATTTTACCTAGCTATTATTGCTAATTGGGTGAAAAGTTCTAAGTTAAGTTTCTAGCTGTTAATAAGTACATATAATCTTTTAGTGTAATTAGTGTAACTAAATTTAGTGTGACTAATTTTAATGTAACTAAAAATATCACCCAGTCATCTATAATAACCAGTGATGGCAACCACAGAATATCTGTAGAAAAGATACCCTCCTAGAATTGCCGCATAAATAAGTTTCTATATTCTGTTTCTTCTCTCATGATAGGATTTTTTAAAATACCTGCATTCAATATAAATAAAAATATTATATTAGTACAGTTTTAATAATAGTGTGTTTCTTTTCATATTCTGGGAGTAACGTAGGACCTAACCAAATTTATTGAATAATTCCTCCTCAGTAATAGCAACTGTATCAACTATGCCCAAATCAAACAGTCCTAGAAAACTCTTCCAGTGATCTGTGAGTGTGTTTTGATGATCCTAACTTTTCAATCCCAGAGGAACCCTATGAAACTTCTTTTATGAGAAAATAATTGATAACTTCTGCTATCAGAAGTTTTAGGCCAAACTAAGTTTTTAATATATTATCATGTGGAAAATGAGTTTTCATCAAGCAGTTAAAATATTTGAGTCTATACATAGCTGTTTTCTGAGTATAGTCTAATATATCTCTAGGCAATAATGAAACTCATCTCCACTCTAATACAGAACTATGGTAGCCTTCTAAATGGTGAAAATTGCAAGTCATCTTCATATATATTTATAGGTACCTTTGCTACCTATTCAACTGTCATCCAAAATGTCAATTTTATTACATATGTGGATTTTATCTGAAATATATTGGTCTCCTTTCAGTTAATCACACAGTGTCAGGCATGAGATGGTTGAATTTCACTGTAGGTTTTCACATTAAAGTAATTTAATACAGAGAATCAGTCACATGGATTATGAAAAACTAAGAAGCCAAACAGAGGACTTTGAGGCAACCAAGAGGGCAACAGCAGCTGTAATTGACTTTTACTTCCAGGGCTCTCCAAAGTCCAGGAAAAGAAATGAGATGTGGTTACCAAAGCATAGAAGTCAGGGCACTCTAGTAAGGACTGCCCATTATAGAGGTGAAGCCGTGAAAGGGACAAGACCAGCATTTCAAATGCAACCCCAGGCAGGGGTGATGGGGTGGGAGCACAGGAGTACGACAGAAGTGTAGGGATGGTGGTGGTGGTGATGGTAGGGATACCCTGGCCTTTCTTTTTTTCCTGCTATAAAAATCCTACTAGTACTTCCCCTTCACTAAACCCATCTGGAAGCCAGATAATGGCAGCCTAGGAAAAAAAAAGCCTGTAGAGTCAACTCTTCCCTCAGCCTCCTACACACACCAATGAGAGACAGAGGAGAGAAGGGAAAAGGCAGATGGGTCTATGAGCAAAAACATCCAACGTCCTATTATGCACGTGGTTAAGACAGTCAATATTTGAGAGTATAGTTCTCAAGCATAGATACCTAAATCAAAATTGCTAGATACATTATTAAATACAGGTTCTCAGGCTTCAATTTAAACCATTGAAGACCTTGCTTTTTTAATCAGCACTCCTGCTGATTCCAGAATGCAGCTAAGCTGGGAGAACCACTAAAACAAAGATCACATTATACCCATTAATTTGTCTGAGTACTTATCAGGTGACATGGTTTGACTGTTTCTCCACCCAGATCTCATCTCAAATTGTAATCTGAATCATAATCCCCATGTGCTGAGGGAGGGTCTGGGTGTGAGGTGACTAGATCATGTGGGCAGTTTCCTCCATGCTCTTCTGATGGACAGTGAGTTCTTATGAGATTTGGTTGTTTGATAAGTGGTGCTTTCCCCTTCTTTCTCTGTCTCCTGCTGCCTTGTGAATAAGGTGCATTCTTCTCCTTTTCTTTCTGCCATGATTGTAAGTTTCCTGAGGCCTTCACAGCAATGTGGAAATGTGTCAAATAAACCTCTCTGGTTTGTAAATTATCCAGTCTCAGGTAGTATCTTTATAGCAATGTGAAAACAAACTAATACAGAGAATTGGTACCAGGTATGTGGAGTACTGGTATTAATATAAGTACAACCTGAAAATGTGCAAGCAACTTTGGAATTGGGTAACTGGCAAAGTCATAAAAGTTTGGAGGGCTCGGAAGGTAATAGAAATATGTGGGAAAATTTGGAACTTCTAAAAACTTGTTGAATGGTTTTGACCAAAATGCTGATAGTGATATGGACAGTGAAGTCCGTGCTGAGATGGTCTCAGATGAGAGTGAGAAACTTATTGCAAACTGGAGAAAAGGTCACTGCTACTGTGCTTTAGCAAAGAGAGTGGTGGCATCTTGCCCTTTTCCTAGAGATCTGTGGAACTTCGAACTTGAGGGAGATGATCTAGGTTATCTGGCAGAAGATATTTCTAAACAGCAAAGTGCTCAAAATGTGACCTGGCATTTCCTTAAAGCATACAGTTATATATGCTCACAAAGAAATGGTTTGAAATTGGAACTTTTGTTTAAAATGGAAGCAGGGCCTCAGGGTTTGGAAAATATTCAGCCTTACCATGTTGTAGGAAAGAAAAACCCATTTTCTGGGGAGAAGTTGAAGGCTGCTACAAAAATTTGCATAAGTAATGAGCTGAATGTTAATCACCAAGACAGTGGAGAAAATGTCACCAGTGCATTTCAGAGTTCTACACAGCAGCCCCTCCCATCACAGGCTTGGATGCTTAGAAGGGAAAAATGGTGTTAGGAGTCAGGCTAAGGTCCTTGCTGCTCTGTGCAGCCTCAGGAATTGGTGACCTGCATCCCAGTTGCTCCAGCTACAGCCATGGCTAAAAGGGGCCAATATAGAGCTTGGGCCATTGTTTTAGAGGGTGAAAGCCCCATGCTTTGGCAGCTTCCAAGTGGTGTTGGGCCTGCAGGTGCACAGGAGACAAGAGCTGAGGTTGGGGAACGTCTGCCTAGATTTCAGAGAAAAAAATGCCTGGATGTCCACGTGGGGGCAGAGCTCTTATGGAGAACCTCTGCTACGGCAGTATAAAAGGGAAACATGGAGTGGGAGCCCCTACATAGAGCCCCCACTGGGGCATTGCCTAGTGGAGCTGTGAGAAGAAGGCCACCATCCTCCAGACCCGAGAAAGGTAGATTGTCTGACGGCTTGTACCATGCTCCTGGAAAAGTTTCAGGCACTCAACACCAGCCCATGAAAGTAGCCACAGGGGCTGTACCCTGCAGAGCCACAGGGGAAAAGCTGCCCAGGGCTGTGGGACCCCACCTCTTGCATCAGCATGTCCTGGATATGAGACACAGAGTCAAAAAATAATTTGGAGATTTAAGATTTGGTGACTGCCTGGCCTGGTTTCAGACTTGGTTGGGGCTTGCAGCCCCTTTGATTTTGCCGATTTCTCCCATTTGGAGTGGGTGTGTTTAATCCATGCCTGTGCCTTCATTGTATCTGGGAAGCAACTAGCTTGCTTTTGATTTTACAGTTTCATAGGCAGAATGAACTTGCCTTGTTTCAGCTGAGACTTTGGGCTTGGAATTTTGAGTTAATTTTGGAATGAGTTAAGACTTTGGAGGACTGCTAGAAAGACAAGATGGCATGATTGATTTTGAAATGTGAAAGGACATGAGATTTGAGAGGGGCCAGGGTGGAATGATATGGTTTGGCTGTGTCCCCACCCTAACCTCATTTCAAATTGTAATCCATGTGTTAAGGTGGCACCTGGTGGGAGGTGACTGGATCATAGGGGTAGTTTCCCTCATGCTGTTCTCTTGATAGTGAGTTCTAATGAGATCTGGTTGTTGGGTAAGTGTCTGGTGTTTTCTCCTTCCCTCTCTCTCTCTTGCTGCCTTGTGAAGAAGGTGCTTGATTCTCCTTTGCCTTCTGCCGTAATTGTAACTTTTCTGAGGCCTCCCCAGCCATGTAGAACTGTGAGTCAGTTAAACCTCCTTTGTTTATAAATTATCCAGTCTCAGGTAGTATCTTTATAGCAGTGTGCAAATGGATTAATACATCAGATTATCAGAAGGTTATATGGTTGGTAGTTTTCCTTTAATTCTCCAAAATAAGGCATCATATAATTATAATTTAATATATGATGTCCACTCTTTCTTCCTGTCCTAATACTTATTTTTTCTTTGTAATTGAGGATGGTTATATAAACCTTCTAAGGAAAGCACTGTGTATTATGCAGCTAAGTTTTGTTTCTCCCGATTAACTGCTCTGTATTATCTTAATAATTTTCAGGAACAATTACATTATTATTTCTCTTTTTGATTTAGCTGTGAAGTTCAGTAGAAATTCTTAGTCTAGAATTTTTCACATAACTATTCTGTTTCATGTCTTTCTCTGTCCTTCTTGTTCTTTTACTCAGATGGTAAGCTTACGTTTTTTTTTCTTCCAGTGCCTTTTCTTTGTGGGAGTGTCCTCTTTCTTGTCACAACTGGCTCTGCATTAACCTTCAGCTATAGTGTCCTGTTTCCTTTTTTCCAGGGAGTGGGCATGTGACTCAGGCTAAGCTGATTATTTCTCTACACCCTAGGACAAGGGTTGATAGAGCAGATATTAACTCAACCAACGAACCCAATTAAACATAAAAATAGAAACAACAGCAAAAGAAGTAAAACAGAAGTTTCAAAAGCAAAAGACAAGGCAGATTGAAATAGAATACTCTTGACATAATACCAAGTCTTCATTTTCTGGATAGGGACTTTGATGGTCTCAGCTGAGATGAGCTGCATGCGTCTACATCAATCAGCTCTCTACTTACCTGCTACGTGCATCTGGCTTATCTGATAACTCTCAAATGTCTTCAAATATAGATGTCTTCAAACATAAAGCTTGTTTTTTTTTGGAAACTGCATATATAATACTTGGCTCTGGGCCCCTAAATTTGCTGAGAGCAGGAATTTTAACTTTCCCTCTCATTCTTGATTAAATCATCATCCATTCCAATATCATTCATAATTAATCTAGTTATCAAAATTTGTTTCTCTTGGGTGAATAGTCAGTAATATGTTTGATATAATCATTATTTCAATCACTTTTTAGAGTTTAAGATCCTTCCTTTCTGAACTTCCATCCTCTGCACTCTTCCATCTTGAGTGTGTATACTGATGGGTCTCACTTCCTTCGTTCCTTGTAAGTAGAGGGCCAGGGAGAAAAGAGTGTCTGTTAATGTGATGGGTAGTATGTATGGGAAAAGTTCCTCCTATGCAGTCTGGTTTGGTGTGGTTTTGGCATAGTCATTTTTTTGCATGTCTCTTTTTGGCAACTTCAACTTGGCCTTTTCTATGACAGAAGAGCAGGTCAGCTGTGTCTCTATTTGGGCTCTGCCACCAATGAATATCGTTAGTCTCTTCTCTGGGTTGTTTTTCCTCTGCTTGGCTGAGTAGCCACCCAGGTGGTACCATGGTTCTATGCTAATTCCCATGGAATAATGGATTGTCAGGCTTCAGAAATCACCAGAGGGGAAGCAAGCCCTAGTTTCTATATTAAGTCCATCCATCCATTGGGAAACATATTTCTGATACTGGTCTCCCATTCTCCAAAAAGATAGAAGGCAAGGGAGGACCAGAACCTATATTTCTGTTTCCTTGTGTGATTTCTTCTCTAAACCTTCTGTTAGTCTCTTCTGTTTTTTTTTTAATTTATTTTTGTCTCACAATATTAGAAAAAGAAATCTGTTTAGCCTCTAGAGAACACAGAGACATACTGTGTATCTCAGATAAATAAGTGAATCTCCTTAAACACTATCATTTTGTTGGAATACAGTCACTTTGTTCTAAACGGTTTGATATCTCTGTACTATGCAGTACATAAATGACAAAACTTCTTTACTACAGGGTGTATATCCCTGGGAAGGGTGAAGGAGAAATAATATGGAACAAAAAATGATTCCATCAGTATTTTACTTTTTTGTTACATAACTTATAAACTGGCTGAACTTGTTTGCAAGTAGACTGAGTATTAATTGATAACAAGTAAAAACAATAATAAGCATCAGTTAATGCTCTGACAAACTGCATTTGTTTATTTTTTCTTATATATACATAAAAATAGTATTTTAATGTTTGCAAAAAAAAAACTTTTCAGTATTATGTTTTTTACTTTAAATATACATATCAAGTAACTTTGGCTTTATTATGAGTTCTATGTCTTTGAACTGACATGGGGACATAGGATCACTTATAATAGTACTTCATGGAAAATTGTCATATGTTCTCTCTCTCTATATATGTGTGTATATATATGCACACACAGACACACACACACACACACACAGACACACACATATATATATATATATATATATATATATATATATATATATATATATATATATATATATATATATATATATAT